CTTGATTTTTTACCACATTCAAAAGACCATGATAAAAATGAAAAATGTTCTGAAAATAATCTTATACATCTGACCATATTATCTCAAGCAAATGATTGCATTGAGACAAATTTTGATGAGCTATCAGGAATTATCCTTTTAAATTTTGCTGAGGAATTTCTGAAACCCTTGACATTTACAGACAGTGAGAGAATGATGATAAACAAAGCAACTGTGGGACAATACAAGAACAAAAGCTGGCATGAGATAAGACACCTTTTGGTTACTGGTAAAAAAATAAATCTCTTGATATTACATCAGACGAAAAACTTAAGAAAAATATTCTCTTATTGATTTATCACCCACTGTTAAAAATTTCATTGATCAAAAAGAATTTAAAGAAAACCAAGTGTATCCTGAAGCTATATAAAATGGTATAAAAGTCAAGAAGAAAATGCAAAATTCTACAGCTCAAAAATCAGTGAAAAACAGCACTGTTTATTTGATCTTGAGGAGCCTGGTCTCCTCGTTAGTAGCAGTTATTCCTGGATAGGAGCAAGTTTAGATGGTATTAGAAGATGTCATTGTTGTGACTCTTCAGTAGTAGAGATAAAATGTCCATTTAAAGGAAAGGACCTTGACCCTAATTAAAATTGCTTTCCTGCTACCAACAGTTTATGGGAAAAAAGGATGAAGAGGGGAATTATTTTCTTGACAAAAATTATATACATTAATTCCAAGTTGAGACTGGCATAGCAGTTTCAGGTTTAAAACTTGTAATTTTGTTACACATACAAGTAAAGGGATATTTATTGTGACAGTTAATTTCATTAATGAGTTCTGGGAAACTGTTGTATCAACAGTTTACAAGCTTTATTGTAAGCAAATGGTTTCTTCTTTCCTTATGGAAGCCTTACATAGTTACAATTTTCCCATGAAACAGTTATCTCAAAGTCAAGAAGATCAACAAAATCACTAAATAAAAGTTTTTGCTACTGCAGTCTGAACCTTACTTTATGCTTCTTCTACATAAATTAGTTAAAGCAGCACAAACAAAAATAATTCTATCCAACATTGGTTTTAGCAGAAGGGCAATAACTCCTGAAAGAATTCTAATTTGTTTGAATTTCAAAATGTTTATTCCAATGTGAGGAAGAATCTTTTGCGTTGATCATTGTCACAACCACACACAGCACAATTTAAAGATTGCCACGAGGCCTATTTCCAAAAACATTTGCAGTCATGAGCTTAGAAATAAACCAGAAGTAGACTGTATGGCAAGATTTCTATATCACCTCATACTTCATAATGCATTCAATTCTTGGATAAAGGAAAACAGAGGCAAAACAACAGATTTCCTTTGGGACAGTGGTTTTGCTTTTAAGTGGTATGGGGTTATATGGAAATCTTTCCTATTTCGAGACCTTTACGAGATGTCGATTTCACAGTAAACCTTGTGCAAGGAGAGAATTTTATTGGTACATTTTATCACATATTTCATGGTTACTTAAAAAAAAAACAGTTTACACTTCCCGCGAATCAACATTGCTCTCATCCTTTTGTGATAAAATGGCTGCAAAAAGGCACTGAATTCTCTCCAGAATGCGTTTTTTGTACGTCAAAACAACTTTTTGCCAAACATTTCATTTTAGCAACTTGCAATGTTTTCCCATGCATGGCGATCCCAGAACCCTTTGTACATAGTAGAGGGATCCGGTTACTAGCAACTCATTCATTTCTAAACAACACAGAGATGAGGTCCTTAGGCTTTACCAGATGGTTCTTGAAAAAAAAAAATTTAGAATAAAACACGTGACTTGCTCAGTGTGATGATTTTTGTTTCCACACTTTGGTATTTAGGATCTGTGAAATTCTCTAGGTCCATTGTATAATGGTTGACAATGGTTGAAATCATCATCTCTGTCACGTAAATTTATTGTGCTTTTATGCATGGCATTAGTCATCTATTAGGAGGATTTACTTTTAGTTGTTCAGCCAGACAGTTCCATGGTTGAATTGCTCAATCCATTCAAAGTCATCTGTCTCAGCCACTTGAGTTATATGCACGTTGAGGGGTGGCAACTCAGTGCTGCTTTGTTGGATACCTTTCTAGTGTACATCCCTGCTTAGTAGAAGTCAAATCAGCCCACTTTGTTCCTTTTGTTTCAGAATATTTGTCACCCTTTTGTTCCTCTGTTTTCACTAGCTCACTGTGAGGCGTGAGTAGTCCAGTGGTCAGTGCGCTAGACTCTGGGTCAGACGCTTCACTCACATTGCTTCGTCTTCTCGGATAGGACGTAAAGCCGGAGGTCCCGTGTCCTGCACCTATCAATTAGTTAATTTCGGCAGGGGACGTTTAAAGAACCCACATTACGAGATTACTGTGATGTGGTCTGGCCTGTTTACTGGGATTAGGGGGAGGGAGCATCTGTAAAATTTCTCCTTTATTAATTGTAAAATGCCGCCGGCAGTCTGGAAAAGTCCCCCGCACAGTGTTGTAAAGCGCATTAAAGCATTTACATGGAGATGCGCTATAGAAATCCATCTATATTATTTTAAAACTTACTCAAATTTCTTCCCCTCAGGGGCCACGGTGTAATTGATATTGTCATGATCAGACACGCAAGTTATAAGAATGATCACAGTTTTGTTACAGTGCTGTAGCAGACGATCTTTCAAATCAGCTACTTTGATTCATATTTAGAAGTAGAGAGCTATTGCATTGAAGGAGAATTGCTTTGATTTTGTCATGTTAATAATTTTTTTTGCTGGAAATAAAAAGGTGAAAGACATTGATGTAGTGAGTACCACAGATACAAATTCAAGTTTTTGATTGGAGATCAATTTTTTATTTAATACCTTGCAGAGCAAGTAATTGTTGCTTCATACAATTTTGATGGAATGTAGAGAGAGTATGGAAGTTTTCAAAATCTTGCAAAAGTACAAGTAACTACCTCTAGTACAGTATGAAAAGACAAGGCAGTCGTTATAGAATGATAACCTATTAATGCCCTTGGGGACTGAAAAGCCAAGAAAATAATATTAAAGAATTAAGGTATCATACAACAGCAACAAGCCTGCTGTTGAAAAATTATAAACAAAGCACTATAGTTCCCATTATATGGGAAAATAATAATAATAATAAAAGCAGATTAAGACAAGTGAACACTCTGGCCTTTAGAAATCAAAAACTTAATGCAAGCCAATACCCTTTTCTGTCACCAGATTAGGACACAATTCGCTTTTTGCTTTTCAGAATCAATAATTCAAGCCAATACCCTTTTCTGTCACCAGATTAGGACACAATCCACTTTTTGCTTTTCAGAATCAACAATTCAAGCCAATACCCTTTTCTGTCACCAGATTAGGACACAATTCACTTTTTGCTTTTCAGAATCAATAATTCAAGCCAATACCCTTTTCTGTCACCAGATTAGGACACAATCCACTTTTTGCTTTTCAGAATCAACAATTCAAGCCAATACCCTTTTCTGTCACCAGATTAGGACACAATTCACTTTTTGCTTTTCAGAATCAAC